TAAATAAAGTTTTATTTGGGTTTTCACACACAAAATACAAGTAAAACATCTTTTCTGAAAATAGCATGGTCCCGGGTTGAACTTCTTTATACAGACACAAAACTCAATTTCATCCTCCTTTTTGTATTCTATTCCATATCTTATACTATTTTACATTTTCTATATAGTTTTTCCCCTCTTTTCATTTTCTCAATTTTGTTTTGATTATCTCATCTCAATTCAAATCATTATATTTATACTTTTGTCTGTTCTGTTTCAATTTCATATTATCTTTTCTCATTAAACAAATTTTCTCCTGTAGTTACTAATTGGAGTATGACACCTTTATATCTTTTAATTACATCCATTCAACTCTTATTTAAACTTCAATATATACCTTAAGTTTATATTATAATATCATACATAATACATAACTTCCAACTGAATTCTACTTGGCACATTCTTATAATACACACTATATTCTTTTTTTAAAAAAAGGATTGCAAATATATGTAATTATAAACCCTCATTCCATGTTTTCACCCATTATCTCTAAATAGGCCCTGTTTCTCTATATTTTGCTTCTGTCCTTTATAACTTTTCCTTTCTTTCTTCCCTCTCATCTTCTACCTCCCCTTTTTACCCCCTTGTCTCTCTAGTTTTAATTCTCTCTTCTGCATTTCCCTCTTCTGTTGCTTTCTGATTTTATACTTATTTTTCACTCTATTTTTTTTAGTTGTTTTTCCCAATCTTAAACTTTCCATTCTCTTTCCCCCCTTTCTTCCCCCCCACCCATCTAAGATTACTTGTTCATTAAAGATGACTTCTTCTTTGTCGCAATCTTCTTGTTCTGCAGGCATTTCTTGTTGTTTCTCATAATTCCAAATCTCCATTTCTAATAACTGAAATATGAAGCCGAAAGAACCTCTCCCTTCTTGTGCATCTTCTTTGTACTTTTTAAGTTCCATTTTCAGTTCTTCTAAAAGTGGAGCCATTTTAAACAGTTTTAAACAACCACCCGATTGATTTTAGTCATTCAAAACAATAACCAAGAATCCATAAATCATCAAGTAATCCAGATAGTCCCGAGTTATATCTTCTTATTTCTTTTTCGACTTTCTCTTCCTGGGGTTTTTGTTGCGATATTTCAGTTAGAATGTATCTTTTGCAAGTCTTGTTGAGATTTTGCTGTAAGTTCTTTTTTAATTCCAGGCAGTCTCCTCCCTTCCAGATCCTACCCTTTTATTCTTTTTCTCTCCTTTCCTGTTTTCAAAAGCTTTTAATTATCCAGAAATCTTTATTATCCCTTTGACTTTTTATTTTCAGCATTAAATGCCTATTGATGTAAAAGTGGATTTTTTTTCCAATTTCTTGCTTAAGTCTCTTAGCTGTCAGTATAGGAAAAGGAGAAAACCAAATCTTTTCTCTTTTCTCTCTCCATCGCAGCTTAAAAATCTTCTTAGGGAACAATGTTATTGTTTTTTAACAGTTTCAATTTCAGGGTACCTTATTTGTTGTTTTTGCTGTTTGACCCGGTCAACCAAAACTTTCTCTTCTTATCTTCCTCCTGCACATTCTTTTCCGGTCGAGTTCTTCTTTGTGGTGGCCATTTCTGACCACCGCTGCAACCGCCTTCGGGAAAGGGAGTAATGGCCAGCTGGGGAGGAGAGATGCGGCTCTCCTCAACCCTGCTGGCAGTCTCCCCTCTCTTCACCACCTCTACGGGGTGGCTTAGCCCCGAAACCAGCCGGCTCGGGGCGCTCCAGTGGCGAGCACAGATCGAAGCCTCGCAGAGACGAGGTTTCGGTCTGTTACTGAAGAAGCTCAAACCGGAAGTCCCTATAGATACCACTTTAGTGGGAAGATGAGTTGGTGCATCGTGTGGATGGTCAGATCCCTGCCGGCACTGGACCAAATTTCTGTATGCAACACCCATCTGCAAGGTGGCTTCAGTAGAGGAGAAAAGCCTCAAATGATACTGTGATGCAGGATGGGTAGCACACAAGTGAGAACCGAACAGGTTAGCAGTGTTAAGGCAGACAAATAATTGTAGTTGCTGGCTAATGTAACATTGCCTTACGATTATATTATATTAATTATATTATATTATATTATATTATATTATATTATATTATATTATATTATAT